AATCTCAATGGATTGTACAGTCTTCTCAAATAAAATTGTGAAGGACTTCAGCGTCACTCTGGATCCTGATCTCGCTTTTGACAAACATATCAAAAATATTTCAAGAGCAACTTTTTTCCATCTTCGTAACATTACAAGAATCAGAAACTTTTTGTCTAAGAACGATGCAGAAAAGCTAATACACGCTTTTGTCACTTCAAGATTAGACTACTGTAATGCTGTACTCTCCGGCTACCAAGATAAGGCACTAAATAATCTTCAGCTTGTGCCAAAAACGGCTGCTAGAATCTTGACTAGAACCAACATATTTGATCATATTACTCCAGTGCTAGCCTGGCTTCCTGTTAAGGCTTGGGCTGATTTCAAGATTTTACTGTTACTACTTATCTCTCCGATTTGGTCCTGCCGTACATACTTACATGTATGATATGGTCACAAGACGCATGCCTCCTTATTGTTCCTCACATTTCAAAGCAAACAGATGGAGGCAGGGCTTTCTCCAATAGAGCAACATTTTTATGGATAGATCTGCCGATCCATGTGAGAGACGCAGACTCGCTCACAACCTTTAAGTATTTACTGAAGACTCATCTCTTCAATAGGTCCTATAATTGAGTGTAGTCTGGCCCAGGGGTGTAAAGGTGAACGGCAAGGCACTGGAGTGACGAACCACCCTTGCTGTATCTGCCTAGCCAGCTTCTCTCTCTCCACTGTGATTCTCTGTCTCTGACCCTATTACGGGGGCTGAGTCACTGGCTTGCTCACACTCTCCCATGCCATCCCTAAGAGGGTGCATCATGTAATGTCAGAATTGAGCCACTGACGTGATCTTCCTGTCAAGTTTTGCGCCCCCTCGGGCTTGTGCGGTGGGGGAGATCTTCGTGGGCTATACTCTGCCTTGTCTCCAGGTAGTAAGTTAGTGGTCTGTTGAAATTCCTCTTGTGGTGTGGGGGCTGTGCTTTGGCAAAGTGGGTGGAGTTATATCCTGCCGGGTGGAGTTATATCCTGCCTGGTTGGCCCTGTCCGGGGATAACTTTGGACGGGGCCACAGTGTCCCCTGACCCCCCCCCCCCCCCCCCCCCCCCCCCCCCCCCCCCCCGTCTCAGTCCCCAGTATCTATGCTGAAATAGTTAGGGCTAGAGGGCAGTCTGTCCTATCTGGTTTAATTCTCCTGTCATATCTAGTGTCCTGCGGGATGTTAGGTATGCTTTGTCTAATTATCCTCTCTCTTTCTCTCTTGCTCTGCCTCCACTCCTGGAGGACCTGAGCCCTAGGACCATGCCTCAGGACTACCTGCCTGACAACTCCTGGTTGTCTCTTTCTATTGTTTTCACTCTCTATTTCTCTTTCTCTATTTCTCTCTCTCACCTGCTGTCTCAACCTCTGAATACTCAGCTATGAAAAGCCAACTGACATTTACTCCTGAGGTGCTGACCTGTTGCACCTGCTATAACCACTGTGACTATTATTTGACCCTGCTGGTCACGAATGAACGTTGGAACATCTTGAAGAACGATCTGGCCTAAATGACCATGTACTCTTATAATCTCGACCCGGCACAGCCAGAGGAGGACTGGCCACCCCTCGGAGACTGGTTCCTCTCTAGGTTTCTTCCTAGGTTCCTGCCTTTCTAGGGAGTTTTTCCCAGCCACTGTGCTCCTACATCTGCATTGCTTGTTCCTTGGGGTTTTAGGCTGGGTATCTGTATAAGCAATTTGATGTAAAAACGGCTTCATAAAATACATTTTATTGATTGATTGATTGATGAGCGCAACACTCAGGGTATTTGCTGCCTGCCTATGTACCTAAACCAGGGGAAACATTTACATTTTTATAAGTTAGTCATTTAGCAGACTCACTTATCCAGATCGACTTACAGTTAGTTAGTGCATTCATCTTAAGATAGCTAGGTTAGACAACCACATATCACAGTCATAGTAAGTAAATGTTTTCCTCAATAAAGAAGTTATCAGCAAAGTCAGTGCTAGTAGAAAAAGTGCACGTTTTGATAAAAAAACATGAGTACCTAGATTAGAGCCCGCGCCGCTTCCTGTGTGAGAAAAGGTTGTACTCTACGGATGTTGTAGAGCATGAACCTGCAGGAGCAAGTCACTGTTTTGATGTTTGCAGTAGAACGACAGGGTGTTGTCCAGGGCCACACCAAGGTTCTTTGCACTCTGGGAGGGTGACAACGTGGAGTTGTCAACTGTGATGGAGAGGTCTTGGAGTGGGCAGGCCTTCCCCAGGAGGAAGAGCAGCTCTGTCTTGTCGAGGTTGAGCTTGAGCTTAAGGTGGTGGGATGACATCCAAGCTGAGATATCTGCCAGGCACACAGAGATGCGTGTCGCCACCTGGGTGTCTGAAGGGGGGAATGAGAAAAGTAGTTGAGTGTCATCTGCATAGCAATAATAGGAGAGACTATGAGAGGATATGATGGAGCCGAGTGACTTGGTGTATAGAAAAAAGAGGAGAGGGGCCGAGAACCGAGCCCTGGGGGACACCAGTAGTGAGAGCACATGGTGTAGACACAGATCCTCTCCATGCCACCTGGTAGGAGCGACCTGTCAGGTAGGATGAAATCCAGGAGTGTGCAGAACCTGAGACGCCCAGCCCTGAGAGGGTGGAAAGGAGGATCTGATGGTTCATTGTGTTGAAGGCAACAGATAGATCTAGGAGGATGAGAACAGAGGAGAGAGTCAGCTTAGGCAGAGCAGAGAGCCTCCGTGACACAGAGGAGAGCAGTCTCAGTTGAGTGACCCATCTTGAAGCCTGACTGGTTAGGGTCAAGAAGATCTTTCTGAGTGCGTTAACGAGACAGCCCGCTCAGGTTTTTTGAAAAGAAAAGAAAGGAGAGATACTGGTCTGTAGTTTTTGATCAGAGGGGTCGAGTGTTGGTTTCTTGAGGAGGGGAGTGACTCTGGCCATCTTGCAGGATGAGTTGATGAGGGAAGTGAGGAATGGGAGAAGTTCTCCAGAGATAGTCTGGAGAAGGGGAGGGGGTTGAGTGGGCAGGTTGTCGGGTGGCTGGACATCACTAGTTGCAGGATTTCATCTGGAGAGAGAGGGGCGAAAGAGGTCAAGGCGTAGGGTAGTTCTGTGTGAGTGGGAACAGTGGACTCAGTAGGCTGAGTGAATGAGGAGCGGATGTTGTCAACCTTTTTTTCAAAGTCGTCCGCAGAAAGGGGGGAGGGATGGGGAGTAGGTGGAGGATTAAGGAGGGAGGAGAAGGTGGAAAATAGTTTCCCAGAGTTGGAGAAGAAGAGCACGTAGAGAGGAGTGAGTGGAAGGATGATAGATCCTCCGGAAGTTTAGTTTTTCCTCCATCTTCGCTCAGCTGCCAACAGCCCTGTTCTGTGAGCATGCAGTGCAGGAGGGGAGGGTCGAGCCAACCAGGAGGAAAGGGGAGAGTGGGAGTCAAAGGAGGCAGAAAGGAGAGTAGGGTCAAAGAGGCAGTCAGGAGACTGGAGGGAGAAGGATTTAGCAGAAGGGAGACATTATGGAATAGAAGAGGAGAGAGTAGTGGGAAAAAGAGAGTGAAGATTGTGATGGTGCATGACCATCTGGGTAGGGGCTGAGTGGGTAGGGTTGGAGGAGAGTGGGAAGGAGAAAAAAGAAACAAAATAGTAATCAGAGACCTGGAGGGGGATTGGAGTGAGATTGGTAGGCTAACAGCCTCTAGTAAAGATGAGGTCAAGTATATTGCCTGCCTTGTGAGTGGGAGGGGACTGGGAAAGGGTGAGGTCAAAAGAGGCAAGGAGCGGAAAGAAATAGGTGGAAAGAAATGAGTCGAAGTCAGGCGTCAAGACGTTGAAGTCTCCCAGTATGATGAACGGTGAACCATCGTCGGGAAATTAGCTTATCAAGGTGTCAAGCTCATTGAGGAACTCTCCAAGGGCACCTGGTGGGCGATAGATGACAACAATGTTAAGCTTGAGTGGACAAGTGACAGTGACAGCATGGAAATCAAATGAGGAGATGGACAGGTGAGAGAGGGGGAAAAGAGAAAATCTCAGTTTAGGAGAAATGAGTAGTCCTGTGCCACCATGATGACCAGATGCTCTCGGACTATGAAAGAACACATAGTCAGACGACGAGAGAGCAGCTGGAGTAGCAGTGTTCTCATGGGTAATCCATGTCTCAGCCTTGTTGACCACTGCTTGGCAGTTCCAAACGCTGCCGGAGACTAGGAATTCCACATGGGTTGTGCGGGCAGGGTACACTAGATTAGAAGGGTTGCAGCCACGGAGTGGGGAGCGTCTGTAAAACCTACAGGCAGAGGAGCGAACAGGGATAGAAATCACACATACTTGACAAAGCCATAAAAAAGCTACATTTGATAATCTGAAAAGAACTAGGTAAAATACTCAAGTGAGAGAGTAGTGTGAAAACCTTCTCTTTCCTTCCTCGAATACCTCCGCAGAACAACTCAGCAGAACGTCTTTGTTTCGGTCTTCATTTTGGGCGACAACACCGCCGCTTCACAAGACCGCAGCTTACAGCTGCCACTGAAATACTAGGGGAGACTGAATTACTAATTGCTGATTGTCTCTCAGAGGTGAAGAAAGATACCCCCTCCAACAGACACACCCACCAATTATCAGAAAGCTCTTCACAAATTCACCTGAAACCAGTCGAAGTCAATGTTCCAACACTTCAAAGTCACAAATACTGAGCATTCAGCAGTTCAAAAAGCAAGGATTAGGCTACTAGGTAGAGAAGGGCAGCACTTAACTAGAATTGTCCTAGCCAGACTATACCAACAACAACACTTATTGAAAGACAAAAATAAACTTAGGCTACTCTTGCAGAGATGAGTTGTCTTCCGAGGCTATAAATGAGCACTGATCGGGTGACAGCACTGTAATGTGTATACATGTATGGGAGAAGCTACTCACACTCCCTGTAATGTGTGTGTCTGGGAGAAGTCACTCACCCTCCCTGTAATGTGTATATATGGAAGAAGTCCCTCACCCAGCCTGTAATGTGTGTGTATGGAAGAAATCACTTACCCTGGCCAGGGACACAGTGTCACTCTTCAGGGACAGCAGATCACAGCAGGCCAGTAGGTCTCCCCCGTCGCTGAGACTGAGGTCTGCACTGAGAGGGCTGGGGCTGAGGTCTAAAGTGGTCACTGGAATCATGGCTGCCATTGCTAGTTCTTGTGGTCTCTCTGGTCCTGCTGGTATCTCTGGCCTCTCTGCTGGTGTCTGTGGCCACAGTGGCTCAGCCTCCACTCTCTCAGTTACCTCTGGCGCTGTCTCTCCACGTTGATTCACCACTGGTCCCCGGCTCTGACAACACACAGGAGAAAATACATTACTGTCAATTGGGAAACACACATGCACACACACACACACTTGGATGCAATATTCCAAACTTTTTGTTTTTAAGTACCGTCCTATCTATGGAGCAGTGGCAATCAGTGCCGTTTAAGATGACGGAGGATGATAAAACGTTTTATGAGCATCGACTTATCACATAAAATAAAATAAAAATTGTCACTTGCGCCGAATACAACAGGTGAACCTTACCGTGAAATGTGACAAATACAATTTGATTTGACTTGATTTGATAAGGACATGCTCATACAAAAATTTTAATAATAATAATCCTCCGTCATCTCATCTTAAACGGCACTGACCGCCGCCACTGCGCCATAGATGGGACGGTACATAGAAACAAAAAGTTTTGAATATTGCATGTGTTTCTATGTGTTTCTATTACAGCTTTTTGGATGACAGTCAGTCATATTCCATTCACCAAACTCAGTGTAACATCGATAGGTTAGACTACTACATGTATTCAATTTTCCCTATACCCATGATGAGGTTACTACAACCTAGCCTATGAATGAAAGTTTACAACGTAGGGGCACATGTCGAGAATATTTTGAGTAATCAAGGTGACAGACAGTGACACATTCAAAACCGCTTTGCACACTCTTCAAATCAAATCAAATCAAAATGTATTTGTCACACACACGTGTTTAGCAGATCTTATAGCGGGTGTAGCAAAATGCTTGTGCTTCTAACTCCGACAGTGCAGTCATATCTAACAATTTCACAACATATACCCAATACACACAAAAAGTAAGGAATGGGATTTAGGAATATATACATTATTGGACAAGCAATGACAGAGCGGCATGGATTAAGATACAGAAGAATATTATAGAATAGAATGCAATATATACATATGAGATGAGTAGTGCAAGATGTGTAAACATTATTAAAGTGACTAGTGTTCCATTTCTTAAAGTGGTGTCACGCCCTGGCTCTGGGGACTCTTATATGTTGAGCCAGGGTGTTAGTTTGTATGTGTAGTGTCTATGTTTTGTTTTCTATGTGTTCTTTTCTAGATCGTGTATTTCTGTGTTGGCCGGGGTGGTTCCCAATCGGAGGTAGCTGTGTCTTGTTGTCTCTGATTGGGAACCATACTTAGGCAGCCTGTTGTGCACTTGTCATTTGTGGGATCTTGTTCCGTGTAGGTTTGTGTTTATGACCGAGGACTTCACGTTTCGTTTTGTTGTTTTGTTATTGGTAATAGTACTCAATAAAAGATGTACGCATTTCACGCTGCGCCTTGGTCCACTCATTACGACGATCGTGACAAGTGGCCAGTGATTTCAATAGGCAGCAGCAGCCTCTAATGTGCTAGTGATGGCTATTTAACAGTCTGATGGCCTTGAGAAATAAGCTGTTTTTCATTCTCTCGGTCTTTGATGCACCTGTACTGACCTCGCCTTCTGGATGATAGTGGGGTGAACAGGCAGTGGCTCGGGTGGTTGATGTCCTTGATGATCTTTTTGGCCTTCCTGTGACATCGGGTGCTGTATGTGTCTTGGAGGGCGGGTAGTTTGCCCCCAGTAATGCATTTGGCAGACCGCACCACCTTCTGGAGAGCCCTGCGGTTGTGGCCGGTGCAGTTGCCGTACCAGGCGGTGATACAGCCCGAAAGGATGCTCTCAATTGTGCATCTGTAAAAGTTTTTGAGGGTTTTAGGTGATAAGCCAAATTTCTTCAGCCTCCTGAGGTTGAAGAGGCTCTGTTGCGCCTTCTTCACCACCCTGTCTGCGTGGGTGGACCATTTCAGTTTGTCGGTGATGTGTACGCCAAGGAACTTGAAGCTTTCCACCTTCTCCACTGCGGTCCCATCGATGTGGATAGGGGGGTGCACCCTCTGCTGTTTCCTGAAGTCCACGATCATCGCCTTTGTTTTGTTGATGTTGAGTGAGAGGTTATTTTCCTGGCACCACACTCCCAGAGCCCTCACCTCCTCCCTGTAGGCGGTCTCGTCATTGTTGGTAATCAAGCCTACTACTGTTGTGTCGTCTGCAAACTTGATGATTGAGTTGGAGGCGTGCTTGGCCATGCAGTCATGGGTGAACAGGGAGTACAGGAGGGGGCTGAGCACGCACCCTTGTGGGGCCCCAGTGTTGAGGATCAGCGAAGCAGAGATGTTGTTTCCTACCTTCACCACCTGGTGGCGGCCCGTCAGGAAGTCCTCTTGCCTGCATCTAGCTGATCGAGGGTGTAATCATTAGTCCAACAGTTGCAAATTAGAGTTTCTATTGTACAAATTCAGGTTTGTTTATCCCCGTTTCGTTCTGTTTGCTTCCGTTTAAGAAATGTTTTCCAACAGAATTGTCGGAATGAATACGCAAACCCAGTTCACATTCAAAGCAGCTACATGAAAACAGCATGATCACTTTGCTCATTGTATATATGATTTATTCTCGCAACTATCTACACGCTCTCCTCCTCTCACCTTTTTCCTTCACTTTTGGACTTCAGTGCACAACACATCAGCTGTCTGTGACCAAGCGAAAAAAACTTTCCAAGCCAAACCATATCATGACCGCTAACCGCTACACACAGCATACATTGTTGTCATGTCATAGTCAATATAGCTACTAGAACTAACGCGTTAGTAAACCCGCTACAATCATGCAGTACAGTGTACAGTCAGAAAGCAGTTTAGCAGTTGCACCGGCGGGCCTGGTGGCAATAAATGAATAAAACCAAAAGCTTACCTTGACTTGGAAGAGTTCCAGTGTTGGATAGCCATAGCCAGCATTTGTTAGCTAAGTAAGTGAATGTGAAAGATTAGAAAAATACAACAAAATATAGCAAAATCTCTCTCTCTCTCTCTCTCCCTCTTGCTTCTCCTTAATTTTGGAAGAAATTAATTTGTTCAAAACTGTTCAACTCTTTCTCTGTCTTTGAGAAACTACTCACCACATTGTATGCACTGCAGTCCTAGCTAGCTGTAGCATATGTTTTCAGTACTAGATTCATTCTCTGATCCTTTGATTGGGTGGACAACATGTCAGTTCATGCTGCAAGAGCTCTGATTGGTTGGAGGGTGTCTTCCGGAAGTTGTCATAATTACTGTGTAAGTCTATGGAAGGGGGTGAGAACCATGAGCCTCCTAGGTTTTGTATTGAAGTCAATGTACCCAGAAGAGGACAGAAGCTATCTGTCCTCCGGCTACACAATGGTGCTACCCTACAGAGTGCTGCTGAGGATACTGTAGACCTTAATTGCAAAACAGTGTGTTTTAATCAATTATTTGGTGACGTGAATACATTTAGTATAGTTGTATCTAAAAATGATAACTATTTTAATGTTTCACTATTTAAAAAATAAAATAAATTCACTGACGAGGATGGTCCTCCCCTTCCTCCCATGAGGAGCCTCCACTGCTATGGAGAGCTATGGTTATATTGTGAACTTCAAGGGCTGTTTTGCAGACAGAATATGTAGGCCAATATCTTCTATTCTAATCCTGCTCAGATATCTTGAAGTCTTTGTAATATTAACTTAAATTCCAGATGCTAGGCTATGTAAATCTGAATTAATCATCTCTCTCTCCACACAATTGTGTTTGTCTTGAATGAATGCAAAACTCATTTACCAAAAACAAACAATGCAGAGAGAGAGACCCACTGTCGTCACTCAACATGATACAATCTACCACCATCAATTCCAATAAGAGCCCTGTCTTTCAAATGTGCTTTAGTGTGCCACTGAATTATCATATGAGAGAGTGTTTACAACTCAACAAAATATCAGTCCGTCTGCTTGTGTGAAAGTTAGTCAATCCTATGAAGGTACAAAATTAAGCACCTGCCTGGCCTATAGAAAATAATTAGGCCGCAGTAAAAGACAGCGGCAGCAGGCAGCAGTTTAACATCTCATAGTGCTATGATTGTCCTTTAACTGTTCAGACTGTCATCCCTTGAGAGCTAATTATCCAGACGATGCTGTAGCACACACACACACACACACACACACACACACACACACACACCCACACACACACACATTACACAGATTCATTGTTCAATCATGGCGTAAAATGCACTAAAATTGGCATTATAGAGGATATCGCTCCAATCAGTTTGATTTCAGTTAATTATGTCTAAGTGCTCCAGTGTCACTGTGTTCCATAATTATGACACCATTTGAAAAGAGGCACCATTTAAAAGACTGGCGTCTGTCTGCATTTTAATTCAGATCTAATAATCAGATTAAAAGTCATGAAAAACACAAGTATTTTCCAGGTGGCTGGTAGGGAGCAGACACCAAAGTTGGGTTTAAAAGCTTGGCCCTTCAGAGTTTCAACTAGGGATAAATAGGGATATACTGTAGCTAGTACAATGCAGTGATACAGTGATATAAAATCCACATTTGGTGAAAGAGTGAGAGAGTGTTATAGTACTCGTCATTTGCTCATTTAGTTTTCATGGCAGGTAATGACCAAGTACATAAACACAATGTTATCCTCCTACTGTTAAAGAGTAACGTTCGTGAACTTTTCTGTTGAAATCTGTGGTGAAGATATGAGTTATCGTCATGTACATCAATTCTATTTAATTCACAACTGAGAGCATGTAAATGGTCAAGTGGGTTTGTATTGGGAAGACAAATGCCAATAGGAAAACAAGATGGGAGACATTTCTACATATATGACACGGGGGGACTCTAATTGTTTCAGTGACTGACAAACACTATACATCAAAGTTTCCCCATTACACAAATAGCACCACGTAGACCATTAACAAGGACACACATGAAGTGTGAATGCAGTAAGAAACCATAGATGTGAAGAGCAGTATGGAGATGAAGAGGCAAAAGGAGGGTAAGGAGATGACATACACGATGTCGCCCAATCAAAGTCAATAGAAGGAGAGCAGTGATTTGCTATGCCTTGACAGCCAGCAGCACAAAAAGGGAAGAGCACTCTGACAACTAAATGTCAATTTCAGGGCTATTGCTAATCCCCTCTGTTGTTGAAATGTATGTTGACACTGTTTTGTATGGCTCCCACTTTTAGTACTATTGTGGGACCATAATTGAATGACATTTATTGTGATATCAGATGCTATTGCTCTGGGTATAAAGATCAGGGATACTGGGATATCTCTTCAGTTTAGGGTTTGGTGCCTTAGCAGGTGCTAGCTCTCTGCTCATATGATTTCTCCTGATATTTTATTTGTCCCCAGAAGTTGAGTAGCTTGCTCGAATTAAACACAGAGTCATATCTGAAGTCACAGTGTCCATGGATAATCATTCTTTACTCCGGTCTTCCACTATTTATTTACTTGATTGCTCAGATGTGGTTGCTCTGTTTATCTCCTTCTTGAGTCTTAAAAAGTTAAATGGAGACTTTTTTCAATGGTTGCCGTAAAAACAAATCACACACTTCATCAAGCATATGTCTAACGTTATGGCATTCCAAACACAATTTGAAGGAGCACTTTAACCAAACCTTAAGGAAAATGATCTGAAAATGTTTAAAGAGCCACTGAACACGCCGATTGGCAAGTGTGTTTTGATGTTGGTCATTAGAAATACGAGATTTCAGTCTTGGAAGTGTGTTTCCTGACCAATTCTGCGTTTGGTTAATGATGTTTGTCCCCCATGAGACACTGTAGACATTGAAACGAATCTCACTTCCTCAAAATCCCCAGAATGAATGTAAGATAACTCAGGAAATCTGTAATTAATTTGTATGTTTTTGCTGAGGATGTTTTAGTTGCACAATTTTACATACAGTATAACTAAGGTGTTTGGTGTAGTATTTCTGATGTAAAAAATGTGCGACGTGTAGTCTTATGTAAACAAAGTCGGAGCTGCTGGGCAGGTCTGTCTCATTGTCTATGCTACTGCATGTTAGAGGGCAAATGGACATCGTCAAATCAAAACCCAACATTAATTTATCTGTTTTAGACTAAACTGACTTTATGACCAAAATCATCCTATTTACACTTTGTAGTCAATTTTGACGGCAAAAAAAGGACATCCAAAAGAAATGACAATTGTAGATACACTACATTAACATTTTAGTCATTTAGCAGACGCTCTTATCCAGAGTGACTTACAGTTAGTGAGTGCATACATTTTCTTTTTTCATACATGACCAAAAGTATGTGGACACCTGCTTGTTGAACATCTTTCCAAAATCATGGGCATTAATATGGAGTTGGTCCCCCCTTTGCTGCTATAACAGCCTCCACTCTTCTGGGAAGGCTCTCCATTAGACGTTGGAACATTGCTGCGGGGACCTGCTTCCATTCAGCCATAAGAGCATTAGAGAGGTCGGGCACTGAAGTTCAGCGATTAGGCCTGGCTCACAGACGGCGTTCCAATTAATCCCAAAGGTGTTCGAAGGGGTTGAGGTCAAGGCTCTGTGCAGTCCATTCAAGTTCTTCCACACTGATCTCGACAAACCATTTCTGTATGGACCTTGCTTTGTGCACGGGAGCATTGTCATGCTGAAACAGGAAAGGGCCTTCCCCAAACTGTTGCTACAAAGTTGGAAGCACAGAATCATCTTGAATGGAATTATATGCTGTAGCGTTAAGATTTCCCTTCACTAGAACGAAGGGAGATTGTCTATGGGGATTGCATGGCTGTGTGTTTGATTTTATACACCTGTCAGTAACGGGTGTGGCTGAAATAGCCGAATCCACTAATTTGAAGGGGTGTCCACATACTTTTGTATATATAGTGTATTTCATGCTTAAATTATATTTCATGCTATATAGTTCATCATGCTAAAAAGTAACAGCATGGTCTGATCTAGTTCTAATGATTCCAGGAGCTCAAGGGGTTAATGGAGATAAGGATGTCTAAAGAGAGGGGATGCTGGAACAGACCCTCTCTCTCCAGATTGGCATCTTCCCATTTCCTCCTGTGCAGCCAGGAGAGAGTGTGTGCAGGAGAGTATGTGTGCAGGAGAGAGAGAGAGCGAGAGAGCGAGAGAGCGAGAGAGAGTGAGAGAGTGAGAGAGTGTGTGTGTGTGTGTGTGTGTGTGCAGCCAGGAGAGTATTTATTCCCCAGTGAACACTGAGGCCTGTAAATTGTTTATCAGACACTAATGCAGGAGGCTAACCCTATTTGCATTCATATTAGTTCCCCCGTACCGCCATCTGAGGGAATTACTTATTCCAATTCTTCAGAGGGATAAATAACTTTATGCATGATATCGGTATCTTCATAATTCAAATCGGTAAAGTCAATTTGGTTTAAGTGCTCCTCGGCTCTGCCTGCCGTGTGTGAGGAAGAGGTTGTGAGGGAAACTTATTTGGAGGCGGTTCGGATCACTGAACATGTACACATGAGAGCGGGAAATGGATTCTGTCATAGGAGCGCTGGCTGTAAGAGAGTTCAATTCTAACATGTTTACCCCCTCGGAATCCTTCAGCCTCTGCTTAAAGCATCTTATACAGTCGTGGTCAAAAGTTTTGAGAATGACATAAATATTAATTTTCACAAAGTCTGCTGCCTCAGTTTTTATGATGGCAATTTGCATATACTCCAGAATGTTATGAAGAGTGATCAGATGAATTGCAATTAATTGCAAAGTCCCTCTTTGCCATGAAAATGAACTTAATCCCCAAAAAACATTTCCACTGCATTTCAGCCCTGCCACAAAAGGACCAGTTGACATCATGTCAGCGATTCTCTCGTTAACACAGGTGAGAGTGTTGACGAGGACAAGGCTGGAGATCACTCTGTCATGCTGATTGAGTTAGACTGACTTGAAGCTTTAAAAGGAGGGTGGTACTTGAAATCATTGTTCTTCCTCTGTTAACCATGGTTACCTGCAAGGAAACACGTGCCGTCATCATTGCTTTGCACAAAAAGGGCTTCACAGGCAAGGATATTGCTGCTAGTAAGATTGCACCTAAATCAACCATTTATCAGATCATCAAGAACTTCAAGGAGAGAGGTTCAATTGTTGTGAAGAAGGCTTCAGGGCACCCAAGAAAGTCCAGCAAGCGCCAGGACCATCTCCTAAAGTTGATTCAGCTGCGGGATCGGGGCACCACCAGTGCAGAGCTTGCTCAGGAATGGCAGCAGGCAGGTGTGAGTGCATCTGCACACACAGTGAGGCGAAGACTTTTGGAGGATGGCCTGGTGTCAAGAAGGGCAGCGAGGAAGCCACTTCTCTCCAGGAAAAACATCAGGGACAGACTAATATTCTGCAAAAGGTACAGGGATTGGACTGCTGAGGACTGGGGTAAAGTCATTTTCTCTGATGAATCCCCTTTCCGATTGTTTGGGGCATCCGGAAAAAAGCTTGTACGGAGAAGACAAGGTGAGCGCTACCATCAGTCCTGTGTCATGCCAACAGTAAAGCATCCTGAGACCATTCATGTGTGGGGTTGCTTCTCAGCCAAGGGAGTGGGCTCACTCACAATTCTGCCTAAGAACACAGCCATGTATAAAGAATGGTACCAACACATTTTCCAGCATGATGGAGCACCTTGCCATAAGGCAAAAGTGATAACTAAGTAGCTCGGGGATGAAAACATTGACATTTTGGCCTTAATCCCATTGAGAACTTGTGGTCAATCCTCAAGAGGCGGGTGAACAAACAAAAACCCACAAATTATGACAAACTCCAAGCATTGATTATGCAAGAACGGGCTGCCATCAGTCAGGATGTGGCCCAGAAGTTAATTGACAGCATGCCAGGGCGGATTGCAGAGGTCTTGAAAAAGAAGGGTCAACACTGCAAATATTGACTCTTTGCATAAACTTAATGTAATTGTCAATAAAAGCCTTTGACACTTATGGAATGCTTGTAATTATACTTCAGTATACCATAGTAACATCTGACAAAAATATCTAAAAACACTGAAGCAGCAAACTTTGTGAAGACCAATACTTGTGTCATTCTCAAAACTTTTGACCACGACTGTAGTCTACAGTGTACAACTCCAGTATGTGTGGCTTGGATTAAACATTCTGTTCCACTGTGCTGAATTCCTACTTAAGAAAAGTACCTGGACTCATTTAATATAGTTTTATCTTTGAAAGTGGAGATATTGCCAGAAGTGCAGGTGAGAATAGTATAATGACAATAGTGCACACTGAATCAACATGGAAAACAGAGGGTCGGATAGAAAATGGACGATAGAGAGATGTCCTTACCTAAACACACACAACCTATTCACTAAGGAGGGCTTTGTGATTAAGAAAGCATTTGCTTGAATAAGAAAATCAGCTGCAGTAGAAAAAATAGATATTATTAAGGAAGTTCAGATCATCTCTAATCAACATTGGGATGTGTGGAACCAGGACATGAATGCCTTAGTACCACCCTAAACCTATAAAAACATGTACAATATGAACATAGAGGGCTTGGTGATGTGTGGAAGAAATAAAAAATGGTTTGATGAAACAGGATAAAGAGAGAGTGGGTGAGAAAGAAAAAGCTGTCAGAAAAGCTGGGCTTTGAACATGATCAGAGACATCGTTTAAACAAAGAACAAATACGGAGAAGAAAGGGCTACCAGCGAGTTGGGAAAACAAAGGGGTTGAGGAAGAGAAGACATTTGGCAGTGTGCGCCGTGTGGCAGAGCGCTAGTCTAGAGTGGTGTGGAACAGTACAGTTGAAATCCATGAATATCAATGAGTGCATATTATTATTTTCTATCAGGTATTGTATCTTTACTCACCTCTTCTGCCTGAGTGATCACCACCGCTGGGATGCAGCCGCCTTGTTCCCCTGCCGCATCATTCCCACAAGCCTCATCTGTGGTGGGGTCCTGGTTTGGGTTAAGTGGCCTATCTGGGTCCACTAGGGCCTGCTCCTGGTCTGATCCAAGCAGATTCTCTTGGTCCTGTTTTGGGGTTGGATTTTGATCTGTGCAGTGTGGTAGATCCATTGCACCAGCTAGATCATGGTTTGAATCCTGTGTTTGGTTCTGTTTCCCAGCTGATACCAGAATGGGGATGTCATGAGGGCTGCTGTGATCTTGTGCAGGACCAAGATATACTGGATCCTGGTTCACACCACTTAGCCTGTTTTCACCCTGGTCTGAGCTGTGAGCTGTGCATTGCTCCAGGTCTACATTACATTGATAGTCCAGGTTCCCTGGTGGATCCTCATCCTGGACTGAGACCTTTAGAGAAGGATCCTGTTCTTCCGTTGTGCATTTATTGGAGCCTAGTGAACGATCCTGGTCCTGGACTTGATGGAAGTAATTCTGACTTGCCTGGTCTTGTGCTGGTCCCTGGTTAAAACCATGCAGTGTGTCCTCGTCTTGTGCTTCACCGTGGTCTAGACCATGCAACCTCTCATTGTCTTGTACTGGACCCTGGTTAAAATCATGCAGTGTTTCCTCATCTTGCACTAAACCCTGGTCTAGACCTTGTGGTCTCTCCTCGTCTTGTGCTGGACCCTTGTCTAGACCCGGCAGTGTTTCCTCATTTTGTGCTGGACCCTGGTCAAGACCCGGCAGTGTTTCCTTTTCTTGTGCTGGACCGTGGTCAAGACCTTGCAGTTTCAGTCTATCCTGGTCTGGTGCTGAACTCTTGCCTAGACTATTCCGCCAGTCTTGGAACTGTCTCGGTGTCATGGGCTGTTGGTGATGTTCTGAACGCCTTGACTCCCTGTCCATGTCCTGCTGGGACTCCTGGAGCTGGGGTGACACTGAAGAACACTCTGTCATAGGGCACGGAGTCACCTGCCAGCGGAGAGCAATATGATAAAATAGTTAAAACATACCCGTATACAAACATGTGCGGCTGTGTGCACTGACACAAACACACGCATGCGCAGACATACACACACATACACACATTTGAATACTAGGCTAAAAGCCTTGTTCTTGAATACTGTGGATAATGGGATATCTAGTCTATACCAACAAAGGTGTCATGCCCATAGGGGGCACGTGCCCCCTCATATTTGTCCTGTTTAAAAAAATACAATAATAATAATAATAACATTGTGGTTACATTTGTGTTGTTGTTTCTCTGTAATATTACTAGCCACCTAACAATTTTATGAAGTTGGCTTTAGCTAGCCCAGACAGGTTCCCAATCTCCCAACCTCATAGCTAGCTACCAAGAAGCCATTTCAGGCTATCAATCAAGTTAGAGCAGCTAGCTTGTCTAACTATCTTAGCTGGCATGCCTGATGGCAAGATTGGTAGACTTTAGAAAAGCAAACACTTACTACATTTACTGAATTAGACTCTAATTACTTTCAATCTTTTACCCAGATTTTAGCAGAGATGCAGAGAAGCATATTTCGTTTCTTTAAAAATATAACCACCAGTCAGGAGGATACAGACAGCTCAAGAGGTATAACCAAGCCAGGGCCTGTTCACCCCGCTACCATCTAGGTGGAGACAGTACAAAATTTGATATGATTTGATATGAAGAAAATAAACATAGTTTTAGATAGAATTGAGCGTAATGATTATGGCCCTAGATTGCAGGAAAATATGTTTGACATGTTTGAAAAATGCACGACGCCCCTGTATACCAAGGCAGAAATATGTTCTCCAATGAGGTGTCTTACTATATTATATCCCAGTTATCTTTCCCTAGCTGGCACTGCTGTCATCTTAACCATTAGCCCTTACAGTGAAGTCCTTTCATTAGCACAGAAACTGCCTAGACATCTCCCATGCTAAAAGGCCCAGTGCAGTCAAAAACGTGATTTTCCTGTGTTTTATATATATTTCCACACTATGAGGTTGGAATAATACAGTGAAATTGTGAAAATGATGATAATGCCCTTGTAGTGTAAGAGCGGTTTGAAAAAAACGCCTGAAATTTCAGCCTGTTTTGGTGGGTTGGAGTTTTGGCCAGCGGGTGGTAAATTAGTTAATAGAGCAACAAGAAAGAGAGTTCTAAACCTCTCTGCCAATAACAACTAGTTTTCCCTTCCACAGTCAGAACACTCCCAGACAGTCCTAGCTAAATTCTTGCTTGAGAAATTGTTCTTTGCTAAGAAGCTATTTTTGTTTCTTTTTTACTATTTTGAGTATTTTAATAGTTCCCCAGAAATGATTTGATATTGAAATAAATACGGCTGCATTGGACCTTTAATATAAAAATCCCAAGGGTAGTAATTATGGTTGAGTGCAGCTAACAAGGATTACATTTGATACTTCAACAACTATTTTTAGAAAGGAATGTATTTTTCAAATTAATTAAACACACTGTCTTACAAGTAACCTCTTGTCATTTGCCCTCCAGGCTAAGCTAATTTGTAAAGAATGGGGGGAAATTAGATTTTTCTTTCATCTGCAGAATTATCTTTACAAAAGAATCAGTACCACAGAGACTGTGGAGGAATTAGATGATGAATTACAAATGTGAATCTTCAACTTTGTCCTCATGAGTTGTTTACATACCTTTAAGGCTTAAAATAAATTACATTTTAATTCTATAGCGTGTCCAGGTAATTAAAATGGTCATACAAACAAACACATGTTGGGTCACTAGCTGGTGTCAAGCTACCAGATAGAAAACAACAGAATAAATACATAAGGCTATCATATCATACGGTATCATCAAATCAAATTTGATTCATCACGTACACAATTTAAAGCAGGTATAAAAGGTGCAGTGAAATGCTTGTGTGCTAGTTCCCTCAACATTGCAGTACTAAACTCAGCATAAAAAGAAACGTCCCTTTTTCAGGACCCTGTCTTTCAAAGATAATTTGTAAAAATTCAAATAACTTTCCCATGCTTGTTCAATGAACCATAAACAATTAATGAACATGCACCTGTGGAACGGTCATTAAGACACTAACAGCTTACAGACGGTAGGCAATTAAGGTCACAGTTATGAAAACTAGGACACTAAAGAGGCCTTTTTAGTGACTCTGAAAAACACCAAAAGAAAGATGCCCAGGGTCCCTGCTCATCTGCGTGAACGTGCCTTAGACATGCTGCAAGGAGGCATGAGGTCTGCAGATGTGGCCAGGGCAATAAATTACGATGTCTGTACTGTGAGACGCCTAAGACAGCACTACAGGGAGACAGGACGGACAGCTGATCGTCCTCGCAGTGGCAGACTGTCTGCAATAGGCTGAGAGAGGCTGGACTGAGGGCTTGTAGGCCTGTTGTAAGGCAGGTCCTCACCAGACATCACCGGCAACAACGTCGCCTATGGGCACAAACCCACCATCGCTGGACCAGACAGGACTGGCAAAAGGTGCTCTTCACTGATGAGTCGCGGTTTTGTCTCACTGGGGGTGATGGTCGGATTTGCGTTTATCGTCGAAGGAATGAGCGTTACACCGAGGCCTGTACTCTGGAGCGGGATTGATTTGGAGGTGGAGGGTCCGTCATGGTCTGGGGCAGTGTGTCACAGCATCATCGGACAGAGCATGTTGTCATTGCAGGCAATCTCAACGCTGTGCGTTACAGGGAAGACATCCTCCTCCCTCATGTGGTACCCTTCCTGCAGGCTCATCCTGACATGACCCTCCAGCATGACAATGCCACCAGCCATACTGCTCGTTCTGTGCGTGATTTACTGCAAGACAGGAATGTCAGTGTTCTGCCATGGCCAGCGAAGAGCCCGGATCTCAATCCCATTGAGCACGTCTGGGACCTGTTGGATCGGAGGGTGAGGGTTAGGGCCATTCCCCCCAGAAATGTCCGGGAACTTGCAGGTGCCTTGGTGGAAGAGTGGGGTAACATCTCACAGCAAGAACTGGCAAATCTGGTGCAGTCCATGAGGAGGAGATGCACTGCAGTACTTAATGTAGCTGGTGGCCACACCAGATACTGACTATTACTTTTGATTTTGACCCCCCTTTGTTCAGGGACACATTATTCAATTTCAATTATTCATGTCTGTGGAACTTCTTCAGTTTATGTCTCAGTTGTTGAATCTTGTTATGTTCATACAAATATTTACACATGTTAAGTTTGCTGAAAATAAACGCAGTTGACAGTGAGAGGACGTTTCTTTTTTTGCTGAGTTTATAATCAATAATAATTATAAGTAATACAAGAGGTATCCACTGGGCATAGACATCAGTTCAACGTCTAGTTTTAATTTACATTTGGTTGAGTTTTCAACTAACGTGAATTCAACGTTAAATAAACAAAATATGTCACCATGTAATTTGATTTCAGGTGAAAGAAATACGAAAATGCCCGTAAATTGAATACTTTTTGCAAATCCAAATCAGTTTTTCACGTTGAGTCAACATGATCATATTGATATTTTTGGTTGAAATTACTTGGAAACAACGTTGATTCAACCAGTTTTTGCCCAGTGGGTAATATGCATAGTAATAGCCTGATATGTAAACAAAAGTATATATTTTTTCACTCTTTATGCAATGCTCACTGCAGAGAACACTGGAAGAAGAATGATCACAGTGAATTATTGTAATGTTTGTTTATGTGTCAATTAATCCCATAAGGGATGGGTTGCCAACTGGCGATTTGACACCAACAATGTTTTTCATTCATTCATATATCTTTTTTTTATTTAACCTTTTTTTCAACAGGGAAGACATAAATAAACAGCATAAATATACTCAATATACCCATATTTGACACAATATGAAAAACTGATTGGATTTGCAAAAAGTAATCAACTTAAGGGCCAAGAGTGCGCAAAACTGTCATCAAGGCAAAGGGTGGCTACTTCGAAGAATCTAAATCTAAAATATATTTTCATTTGTTTAACACTTTTTTGGTTACTACATGATTCCATGTGTTATTTCATAGTTTTGATGTCTTCACTATTATTCTACAATGTAGAAAATACTAAAAATAAAGAAAAACCCTTGAATGAGTAGGTGTGTCCAAACTTTTGACTGGTACTGTATATATACAGTGCATTCTGAAAGTATTCAGACCCCTTGACTTTTTCCACATTTTGTTACGTTACAGCCTTATTCTAAAATGGATTAAATTGTTTTTCCCCCCTCGTCAATCTACACACAATACCCGATAATGACAAAGAAAAACAGGTTTTTATAACTTTTTGTACATTTATTAAATATCAAAAACTGAAATATTACATTTACATCATAAGTAGTCAGAGCCTTTACTCAGTACTATGTTGAAGCACCTTTGGCAGCAATTACAGCCTCGCGCCTTCTTGGGTATGACGCTACAAGCTTGGCACACCTGTATTTGGGGCGTTTCTCCCATTCTTTTCTGCAGATCCTCTCAAGCTCTGTCAGGTTGGACGGGGAGCGTCGCTGCACAGCTATTTTCAGGTCTCTCCAGAGATGTTCGATTGGGTTGGTGTAGGAAGAGTCTTGGTGTTTCCAAACTTTTTCCATTTAAGAATGATGGAGGCCACTGTGTTCTTGGGTTCCTTCAATGCCACACACAGTTTTTTGGTACCCTTCCCCAGATCTGTGCCTTGACACAATCTTGTCTCAGAGCTCTACGGACAATTCCTTTGACTGCATGGCTTGGTTTTTGCACTGCCAACTGTGGGACCTTATATAGACAGGTGTGTGCCTTTCCAAATCATGCCAAATCAATTGAATTTACTACAGGTGGACTCCAATCAAGTTGTAGAAACATCTCAAGGATGATCAATGGGAACAGGATGCACTTGAGCTCAATTTCAAGTCTCATAGCAAAGGGTCTGAATACTTATTAAGGTACTTCTGTTTAGTTTTTCATAAATGTGCAAAAATGTCTAAAGACCTGTTTTCACTTTGTCATTATTGGGGTATTGTGTGTAGATTGATTAGGAACTATTTTTATTTAATCCGTTTTATAATAAGGCTGTAACGTAACAACATTTTGAAAAAGTCAAGGGGTCTGAATACTTTACGAATGCACCGTACATAATAGTATCATCCACATATAGATTAAGTTTACACGTTTTAACAGATTGACCAAAGGTGTTTATATAAATAGTGAAGAGAACAGGTCCCAAAATCAACCCCCTTGGGTTACCTTTACAGTGAGGGAAAAAAGTATTTGATCCCCTGCTGATTTTGTACGTTTGCCCACTAACAAAGAAATTATCAGTCTATAATTTTAATGGTAGGTTTATTTGAACAGTGAGAGACCAGAATAACAACAACAAAATCCAGAAAAAAACGCATGTCCCAAAAATGTTTATAAATTGATTTGCCCTTTTTAATGAGGGAAATAATTATTTGACCCCCTCTCAATCAAAAATAATTTCTGGCTCCCAGGTGTCTTTTATACAGGTAACAGCTGAGATTAGTCACGAGCAACAAGGGACCAAGGCGAGCGTTGAAAGTGACATATCTTTTATTTAAATACACGTCAAACAATAACGATAATCCACGTACCCCACCGAAATTCAAGAAACCACAACACCACGTGAAGACAATAGTTAAATGCTCCCGAGCCCCCGATGTGCTCTGATTGTGTCACTACCAACATAGAAATATCAACAAGATTCCACCCGCTCAACTTTTCCCCAAGCAGCGTGACAGTACCCCCCCCTAAAGCGCGATCGCGCGCCAAACAACCACAACAGGGGAGGGACCGGGTGGGCACTCCGCCTCGGCGGCGGATCCGGCTCTGGATATGACCCAGGCACGGGTTGTGCTGGACTGACGACGCACACCCCTGGCTTGATGCGTGGAGGAGGAACGGGCCGGACCGGGCTGACGAAGCGCACCCCTGACTTTGTGCGAGGAGCAGGAATGAGCCGGACCGGGCTGACGATGCGCACCACTGACCTGGTGCGGGGAGCTTGGATGGGCCGGACTGGGCTGGCGACGCGCACCACAGACTTGGTGCGGAGAGCAGGAACGGGCCGGACAGGGCTGACGAAACGCACCATAGACTTGGTGCGGAGAGCAGGAATGGGCCGGACCGGGCTGGCGACGCGCACCACAGACCTGGTGCGGAGAGCAGGAACGGGCAGAGCCGGGCTGACGAGACGCACCACAGACTTGATGCGGGGAGCAGGAATGGGCCGGACTGGGCTGGCGACGCGCACCACAGACCTGGTGCGGGGAGCAGGAACGGGCAGAGCCGGGCTGTCGACGCACACCGCAGGTTCGGTGCGGGGAGCAGGAATGGGCCAGACTGGGCTGGCGACGCGCACCACAGACCTGGTGCGGGGAGCAGGAACGGGCCGTGCCGGACTGACGAAACGCACCATAGACTTGGTGCGGAGAGCAGGCACGGGCCGTGCCGGACTGACGACGCACACCACTGGCTTGGTGCGGGAAGCTTGGATGGGCCGGACTGTACTGGGGACACACACCACTGGCCCTACACCGGGATCTGGAACGGGCCGGACCGGACTGGCAACACACGCCAGTACCTCTCGCCGTGCCTCTACTTCCTCCATCCCCTCTTCGACCAGTGGCCCCCGTAACCCGGCGGCCTTCTCCGGCAACCCACTGGGCTGCTCTATCGCGGCCTCCTGCTGGTCCGACGTCGTGAGCCCCCCCCTAAAAATTTTCGGGGCGTCTCTCCTACCCGTGGACCAGGTCTCCATGTCCCTCGCCAGCCTCTCGCCCTTCTGCCATAATGTCAAGCCCTTCTCTTCCTCACTCGGCTTGACCCAGTCCAGGAGGCGAAGGAGATCTGTGAGGGATCTCCCTGGCGATGGCTCCTGGACACGCTGCTTGGTCATATCTTGGTGGTTTCTTCTGTCACGATCGTCTAACAGAGTGGACCAAGGCGCAGCGTTGAAAGTGAACATATCCTTTTATTTACAGATCACACGATCAAAACAATAAACGATAACGTGACGTCTACGGTTACACACGAACCGAAATGAACAAGAAACCACAAACACCACGTGAAAGACAGATAGTTAAATATGGCTCCCAATCAGAGACACCCAGCAGACACTCGTTGCCTCTGATTGGGAGTCACTCAGCCCAACATAGAAATATCAAACATAGAATTTCACACCCTGGCTCAACATAACATTGTCCCCAGAGCCAGGGCGTGACAGATTAGGAGCACACTCATAAAGGGAGGGCTCCTAATCTCAATTTGTAACCTGTATAAAAGACACCTATCCACAGAAGCAATCAATCAATCAGATTCCAAACTCTCCACCATGGCCAAGACCAAAGAGCTCTCCAAGGATGTCAGGGGCAAGATTGTAGACCTACACAAGGCTGGAATGGGCTACAAGACCATCGCCGAGCAGCTTGGTGAGAAGGTGACAACAGTTGCTGCGATTATTCGCAAATGGAAGAAACACAAAAGCACTGTCAATCTCCCTCGGCCTGGGGCTCCATGCAAGATCTCACCTCGTGGAGTTGCAATGATCATGAGAATGGTGAGGAATCAGCCCAGAACTACACGGGAGGATCTTGTCAATGATCTCAAGGCAGCTGGGACCATAGTCACCAAGAAAACAATTGGTAACACACTATGCCGTGAAGGACTGAAATCCTGCAGCGCCCGCAAGGTCCCCCTGCTCAAGAAAGCACATATACAGGGCCGTCTGAAGTTTGCCAATGAACATCTGAATGATTCAGAGGAGAACTGGGTGAAAGTGTTGTGGTCATATGAGACCAAAATCGAGCTCTTTGGCATCAACTCAACTCGCCGTGTTTGGAGGAGGAGGAATGCTGCTTATGACCCCAAGAACACCATCCCCACCGTCAAACATGGAGGTGGAAACATTATGCTTTGGGGGTGTTTTTCTGCTAAGGGGACAGGACAACTTCACCGCATCAAAGCGACGATGGACGGGGCCATGTACCGTCAAATCTTGGGTGAGAACCTCCTTCCCTCAGCCAGGGCATTGAAAATGGGTCGTGGATGGGTATTCCAGCATGACAATGACCCAAAACACACGGCCAAGGCAACAAAGGAGTGGCTCAAGAAGAAGCACATTAAGGTCCTGGAGTGGCCTAGCCAGTCTCCAGACCTTAATCCCATTGAAAATCTGTGGAGGGGGCTGAAGGTTCGAGTTGCCAAATGTCAGCCTTGAAACCTTAATGACTTGGAGAAGATCTGCAAAGAGGAGTGGGACAAAATCCCTCCTGAGATGTGTGCAAACCTGGTGGCCAACTACAAGAAACATCTGACCTCTGTGATTGCCAATAAGGGTTTTTCCACCAAGTACTAAGTCATGTTTTGCAGAGGGGTCAAATACTTATTTCCCTCATTAAAATGCAAATCAATTTATAATATTTTTGACATGCGTTTTTCTGGATTTTTTTGTTGTTATTCTGTCTCTCACTGTTAAAATAAACCTACCATTAAAATTATAGACTGATCATGTCTTTGTCAGTGTGCAAACGTACAAAATCAGCAGGGGATCAAATACTTTTTTCCCCTCACTGTATCTGGTGTAATTCTCCTGTCTTATCTGGTGCCCTGTGTGAACTTAAGTATACTCCCTCTAATACTTTTTTCCCTCACTGTATGTACTTCAAGAAATTCAGACTTAAGCCCATCAATCACGATGGCCTGAGTTCTGTCACTAAGATAATCATGAAACCATGAACAGGCTTCAGACCTCAGGCCTATCGAGGACAACTTATTCAATAAAATAGCATGATCAACATTATCAAAAGCTTGTGACAGGTCCACAAACAAAGCAGCACATTTCATTTGAGTGTATAAAGCATTGACAAGATCATTAACAACTAAAGTGGTTGCTGTAATAGTGCTATGCCCAGGCCTAAACCCTGATTGGTTTACATTCAAATTACATTTCTCAGAGAAAAAATGGGCGAAGTTGTACATTTACCAAGGACTCATGAATCTTAGCTAAACAAGGAGGCCTTGAAATGGGGTGATAATTATTAAGATCACTACTATCCCCGCCCTTATGGAGTGGCAGCACAAGCTGATTACCATACTTTTTAAATATTTCCTGATAACAAGGTTAAATAAAAAATGTGGGTTATTGAGCCAACAATGATGGGAGCTGCACACTTAAGCAGACTGGGATCCAATTGGTCAGCCCCTGTGGATTTCTTGTTGTCTATTGTTAGCAAAGCATCCAGGACTGATTTTTCTGTAAATAGCCTAAAACAAAAGCTTTGACTGTCATTTCTCTGCTCATTCAGCAAGGTTCCCCTATCAGCATCCAGCCCAATATCATTGTGAATAGGCTTAGAAGTTGTTTCAGAGATAGCACACTGAAGTAAAATGGTGATTAAATGCATCAATGATGGCATTTCTTCCTGTAATGAGGCCAGTGTCTGAATTAATTTGTTGTGGCAGAGAGGAGGAAGTAGAACCCTTCAGGGATTTGACAGTTTTCCTGAATTTAGCCAGGTTTCCCATTACAATCCGAAAGAGCGGTTACATAAAAATCAGATTTAGCCTTTCTGATTTGTCTTACAATGATTCCTCAGTGGCTTCAAAGCTTGCCAGTCCGAGCCTAAGCCTGTGTTCCTGGCCTTGACCCAAGCATCATCTCTATAATTAATGACTTCTGATAATTCCGAAGTGTACCAGGCATAGATCTACCTTTAACCCTTCATTTTTGGAAGGGAGCATGATTATCCACAATAGTATTGAAGACATCTGCAAAAATGCTCAAAGCTAAATCAGGTTCAGGGATAGCTTAAATACAATCAAGGTCACTAAAATAAAGATAATGTAAAGAGTATGTTCACTGAAGTTTTTAAAGTTCCTCTTTGTGATGACTTGAGGCTTAGATTTTTGTATTCTCACATCTCTAACACAAACAACTAGGCAATGGTCACTAATGTATTGGGCAAAGACACCAGTAGAAACATATTTTTCTGGTGTATTTGTTAAAATAAGATTAATAAGAGTTGACTTTTAAGGATCTTTAGGGTTGGGCCGTGTAGGCTTAGTCACCAGCTGGGTTAGGTTTAGATCATTACACATGTCTTTTAGATTGTCTGAAGCCTGCATTCCCAATCATAATGTAGGTCACCCAGGATAATAACTTCTGATTTAATAAAAGAAGACAACAAACTAGTTAACTTCTCGAGTGCACAAATGTTAGCCGAGGGAGGACGGTAGACCCCTATAACAGTTATGGATACATCTTCCCCAGACAAAGCTTAAAGATAGTAGCTAAAGGTTTTGGGCAAAGGAAATTGATTTCTGTAAAGAGACAAATACATTATTTTTAATAAGAATGGCCACTCCACCACCACTACCCTGTCTGTCAGCTCTGAACACATTCTAACCCTCAATATTAATATCAGAGTCCAGAATGAGACCAGATATACAGTATAGATAATGAAGGTGCAATGTTAAGTATGACTGTATTAACAAACATAAAGTGAGTAGTGTCTTGGTCACGCAGTAGAATAAATAGTATATACTAGAGCAGCAGTGTTGAATGTGTGTGTGTGTGTGTTTATGTGTGTATGTGTGTGAGTCTGTGTGCATGTGCATGTGTGTGCTTGTGCGTGTGTGTGCTTGTGCGTGTGTGTGTGTGTGTTTTTATGGGTGGTTATGTGTGTGCTTTTGTGTACAGGTTGGATGAATGGAGAGTAAGTGCAAATAGTCTAAGGTGCAGAAAGTCTCTAAGGTGCAGGTCTGTGCAGGGAGACAGATAGGGTTAGCTGTTCAACAGTCTGATGGCCTGGTGGTAGAAGCTGTCTCGGAGTCTGTTGGTCCAAGACCTGATGCTCCGATACTGCTTGCCAGATGGTAAAAGAGTGAACAGTCCGTCGCTCGGGAGACTGGAGTCCTTGACGACCTTCCAGGCATTCCTTAAACACCGGTGTAGATGTCTTGTCATATCATAGAGCTGCTGTTTAGAAATAGATCACCAGCATACCACATGCATTAATGGCCTCTAACTAATATGATTCTCATCCATTCCACACCTACCAACAGTGCTTATAAGATGCAAGCCTACATTATGCTGCCCCTCCCCAACTGGAACCTATCAGTACAGTGCATTAGTGAGGGATGCTTAAAGGCATGAAAATGCCATCTCTAATCTACCCAACCTATCTGTAGTCTATAAACTGAGAAACTGCATATGATCCACAAACGATCATGCCCAACAACCGCACCATTTCCCCCTGCGCACACACACACACCATCAATTGCACCAATAAGGAGTGTGGTTATGCTTATGATGTGCTTAGAGAGACTCCTTAAGGAGAAGTGTTTTCACATTGTTCAGGCTTCATATACTCAATCAAAATTGGTTTAGTGATTCAGGTTATTGGCTTATTTTCAAATGAAAGGTACTCTTTCTTCAGGCTCGCTCTGGTAATTTTGAGTGTCATTGAAACGGGAATATTATCCCAATCTCTTTCCCAGGTGTATTAAAAGTCTACTGTAAATCATGTTGCTGTTGTTTTTTTAAATACTGTATTTGAAATGTTGTAAATTCAATTTATTACTGCTATCTGTCACAGATAAATGAATGGGAGAACAGATTAATTTCAGAATATCAACACAGCATTTGTATCTTAAAGGCTCAGTGTAGTCAAAAACGTGATTTTTCCCCCCTGTGTTTTGTATATATTTCAACACTATGAGGTTGGAATAATACTGTGAAATTATGATAATGCCCTTAATGGTGTAAGAGCTGATTGAAAAGACCGCCTGAAATTTGGTGGGATGGAGTTTTGGCCTGCCTGGTGACATTAGTTAATAGACCAATAAGAAAGGGAGAACCTGGTAGGTTGGTGTGGCTGTCATCTAAAGAAAACCAGAAACATATCAAGATGTACTGTTGTTGCTTTTTCTCATAAGACAATGACAGAGACTGACCACACACCATGGGCCAGTGTGAAAGTGATGTCTTAAGCTACCCACTCTAATTATAGTAACAACAAATAAGATTATCTCTATCCATGCACACAGGTCTAAGGCCAGACTAAGCAGAGCAGTTCAGGGTTGTGTTTACAATAGAAGTTTATAATAGAAGCTTACAGTAAGCATGGGCCATATCTAAACTTGTTTAAGCTATGCTTTTAGGCAAATATAATTACAAATATTTATTAAATTGTATGTTACTTGTATGGCTACCTGAGGTGAAAAACGTATTTTTTCCCCTTTGGCAAACCATTCCTCAGCACTCAATAGCCAAAAGGTGAATTAGGATAGGACTAGGCTACTCACCTATCTGCTCTTGTTTGAAAAAAATGCCAGGTGTAGGCTATGGTCCAGAGAAATACTGTCACTTTCTGTTTCTTCTGATGATGGGTCGTAAAACGATATATCGGGCTCCATTGATGACGATGTGCAGCCTATTCATGGGCCTATTGGCGACAGCGAGAAGCATACCTGTGCAACTGATAGCAGAAACGATCTGTAGAGTATGAGGATTATCTCATTTCTGTTTTCTAGCCAGCTTTCAGCACATCACGCAACTCACAGATCGTAGATCGGCCTAATCGTCTACTGAGACGTTCCTGAGCTTGAAAATGTGACGTCACTACCTACAGTGCCAACATTCAGCACTTGGACAGTTCCCGGCAAGTAGTCTGTTTGTCCATGCGACTATTTATTCTATGCCTGATAGGCTTTATTGTTGGCAACTGTATTCAGGGACAATAAGTATTATTCACAAGCATCTACTGCCAATGCAAATAACTTCTTATTTGAAACCACAACAAACAATTAAATTAAACCAATGGTAAGCATGTACAATTATTCCTTTGTTTTTCATTAGGATATCTGCTTTTACTTGAGTGTTTTTCAGTTTATTTCTCTGGTAAATAAAATATTTAGATATATGCAATTGTGATATAGCCTATATATCTGCAATTGTTACAACTGAAGATACCAGTTTTCAGGTTAGGGACCCTGTCAGCAGTGCAGACAGCGATCCCTCTCGGTTAACGAGGAGTGCAGTTGATAATAAGATAATCTATAATTGGGTTTAAATTATATAGATTGATATCATTTTATGTGTTAGGGTACAGATAGCCTTCACAATACTAGCCTAATGATTTGATAATAGTCTAATTCGATCTCAATTAAAGCGTAACGTGTGTGTGTGTGTGTGTGTCTGTGTGTGTGTGTGTGTGTGTGTGTGTGTGCACGCGCGCGGGGGTGGAGCTGACAATCATGGAATGAGGTTGCCTATTCCTCCGCTGACTCTCCCATTTCCAGAGCCTGGCAGGTTGGGCATCGACAAAGCGTTCCGCTGGAATGCTACATGCAGACAACTTTCCCTGCCAAATTGATGTAGTAAACAACAACAAACCAACCAACGCAACAGTTCGCAATGTTATTGAATGGATTAATTATTTTTCAAATGCGAACATTGAGGGAAAGGAACTGATTTCAGATGTGAGTTTTCATGCGCTTTTCTTTAGTGTGCATCTAGGGTCGAAAGCGCACAAGTGGCCATAAGTGGTTGACTTTAGGAAGTCACTCACCATGGCCTATCCTCAAGGCTTTCTCTTCCAACCGTCGGTGTCTCTGGCTCTCCATTCCTGTCCCCCGTTCAGTTCCAGTGTGATTTTAGGAGGACCAAGGACAGAGGACCTGGGCCGGTCGTCTTCAGGTTCAGCCTTCGCGCCCTACGCGGGCTCACCGGCGTTCAATGGTTCATCCCCTGGCTTCAATTCCCACCTCCAGTATCGCGGAGAGCAGAGGGCGGCACTGAACTCATTTGTGGTGAGTGAAAACTGTACAGTTTAACAATTATGCACTGTTTGATATCGGAATCATTATTGTAAAAAAAAAACGCCATTCGTTTCTTTGAAAAGGCCTATTTGTATCCAGATTTTGGAACAACTAAGTTGAAGTATAGCCTTCTGATACAATGAGTGCACAATTAATAGAGGTTTAATAAAACATGTATAAAAGCTTTTAAGTAATTTATAATAAGAGATTATGCAATGATTAGTCACAATTATTTGCAAAACTTTACAAAATAAAATATATAATATTTTGTTAAAATTGTCCAATATTGTATCTGTCATAAGTTGCATAGCTTATGTATAGGCCTATAATATAAATACATTTTGAACTCTGAAAATATGATAAATACAATTGGAAATTGAAGGTCTGGAAATAATCAATGTCTTCCTTTAGGCTTTCCAGTCTTGTGAGGTCAAACTATTGAAATAAATTCGTATCTATTGTTTTTCTATTGACTTTCTAGGGCTCCGCGTATGATCCTTCAGCGGGCATCGCTGGCTCTTTAGAATATCACCCGTTTGGTGTAGCATTGGGCTATCCATATGGAGATCCTACATACAGGAAAAATGCTACAAGGGATGCGACTGCCACTCTCAAAGCGTGGCTCAATGAACACCGTAAAAATCCCTACCCAACCAAGGGTGAGAAGATCATGCTGGCCATCATTACTAAGATGACCCTTACCCAAGTGTCCACCTGGTTCGCAAACGCCAGAAGGCGGTTGAAGAAAGAGAATAAAATGACGTGGACCCCGAGGAATAGAAGTGAGGATGAGGAAGAAGATGACAACATTGACCTGGAGAAGAATGACGAAGACGACGAGCCACTCAAGCCCACAGCAGAAATTAGGTCGAAAAATGAAGCAGGTAAGTTAAAGTCTCCTTTTTTCATTAAGGTTTCCATGCTGCAGTCGGCCTAAAATGTGTTATTTCAGGCATTTCATTGGTTTAAAAAGTATTGGCCTATTTTTATGTAATTCACTGCATAGACTTACAACATGTTGTTGCTTTCGTTAGACCTTGAAAGGGTGATTAGACCTAATCCTTGGAACGCTTTGGTCTAATTTATTCTATCTTCTTGCAGTTGGACAGCATCCAAATCCAGTGGGAATCCCCTGTGAGAAATACAAAGAGGACAATAGCGGCAATGACATGGAACCTGTCTTAACTGATCCGGATATAAAGGACCACGGGGACAGGAGAGTGACCGAGATGCCACCGCCCACCACCGCAGCATCTCCCCAAAACGCGGACCTTGGAGCGGAGAGGGATTCAGACTCCGCGGCCTCGGAAAGTCCACCTCCACCGAGGCGTAATGACTCAGGCAACTCCAGCAATGCCACATCAGTGATTCACTCCGCCGTTCCGGCCCAGAAACCTAAACTGTGGTCGCTCGCGGAGATTGCAACTTCTTCGGATAAATGTAAAGGATGTTGTGATGCCTCTCAGACCATGCCCGGACAATTACGTACAGAGATTCCGGGCCGTAGGCCTATGTCATCTCCATTGCGAGACGCTCCTCAGAATATTTTCCCTCACAGCGCAGCCCTATCCAGACATGTCTATTATACGTCTCCCTTTTTCCAGGGTTACTCGAACTATCATGGCACTTTTGGAGACCTGCAGAGCCCCGGATCCAACGTGGGGTCAGCGACACATTTAAATGGATTACATCAAACTATGTTACACAGAGCCGAGGCTCTGTCAAGAGACAGCCAAGCCAGGAGTCAAACACAGATAGATATTTGTAAAGACTTGAGATTTGAAATTAAGAAAGGTATGACACATGTCTAGTAGCTTGTGTGCCATTTGGTAAGCTATAGGCTCTATATAGACGTGTATTTATTGTCCAACTGGGAAAATAAACACATTTTCAGTTGGGAAAATACCTCTTGGGATGCAAATGGAACATTGAAAATGAGTGTTCTTGGGAGTCCCTAAAAAGGCAACAAACAATTATTTAGGAATGTAAATATTCAATTATTACATTTTGTATTTTTAAAGGATAATGTCTAATCTTTGGAGAAAAAAAAGTGGATTCCTTTGTCAAACCACGTGGTGAATAATTATTAATTAAAGAAGACAAGTTTTATTGTAGTCTTTTTTCGAAGAAAAGTGTGTTACTTTGTCATTTCTATTGACTTTGGTCGTTCGTTCCGCAAAAAATATCCTATTTTTACAAGATTAATTTCGTGTTGCATGGCTGTAATGGTTGACATGTGTGCCTTTTCAAATAACCACAGCCATGTGAAGAACACAACTCCACACAGAAAGTTGCCAATGCCGGCGAAATTATTGGATTAAAAAAAACGATTAATCATTGCATTGACTGCATTATCACAGCACCATTCCAATACGCAATATGTCCTGTATTGCAATAAGTAGGCTATACATAATTCTCGAAATTCCCTCTGCATGTAGTCTAGATTTTAGTAGCCATTACTTGAAGCAACTGTGGAAAATGTAATCCCTATATATCAGAAATGCTCTAGTCTGTTATTATTATTATTTTTTAAGTTGAGCTGAGAGGAAATGACATTTGATCACACCACAAAATAATCCATGGTAACCAGGCATATATCTGGGTTTTTAAAATATCAGCACTTAAGAAGCTTACATTTTCCAAGGACATCTTCAAGGAATTAAAAAGTGTGTAAATTTGAATCTATGTTCTCCTGAAGGAGGGGATTTCTCTTGATCATAGAATTGCAAGAGCCAAACAGTAACAAAGCATGCAAAGAAGGGTGAGAAAAACGCACCACTGTGTACTAAACTCTGGCCCTCAATAACTTAAAAGGCTATGTAATCCCTAAAGTATATAAAGCAATAACATGTTTTCTATGTTAGTGATTTTTTGTGGCTTTCTGCATAGGCTATATTTTGCTCAAAAGCCTCTTGATATTCAAGTCCTTTTTGAAGCTGATAACTAACAGAGAACGTGTGTATAAATACATCATAAATACATTTGTCTATGGATGTTTAAAGATTTACCGAGATGTTCTAGGCCTATGATCAACTCAAAGACACACAATGATCTTATGCAAACCTTTAATAGATTATTTAAAAAACCTTTGGACAATTTACATTTTCAGTAAGATACTTAATTTTTGAATTTGTATACAAATCTCTGGTCTTGGATTCAGTAAAAACTCAGGCTACACAAAGGCCATAAGAAGAATAAATGGTATCCTTTTAAACTTGAACGTTTTAGTTTATCTATTGAATGCAACTTTGGCCAATTTATACAGAGGACCGCTCTCAAATAATACATTCTGAGGTTATATCTTTGGTATGATCGAGTTACCACACAGATAGACTCTTTAGATTTTATGAAGCAGAACATTTTCTTTAAAGAAGTGGTCATGGGCCAATAGTTTGAATGGGTGATATGGACCAAGTTAGCAATATTAACATATCATAGCCACTAGCCAGGCATAATAATACTAATCCATCAATTACGGCTTGATTATTTGATGATTTATAAACCTTTGTATGAACCTCAAATTGATAGTATATGGATACATTTATCACAATGGCAAAATATGACCATTTCGTTTTTTAATAGTGCAGGATATATACCCATTTAGTTTTATAGAATTACTTCTAGGTCCCAGATACACAATTGGCAGCACATGATGGGCCAAGTCCAGTCTACCACAATGTCTAAAAAAGGAGTTCAAATATGGTAAATAACAGCAAAACACAAAGGTTTATAAATCATCAAATAATCAAGCCGTAATTGATGGATTAGTATTATTATGCCTGGCTAGTGGCTATGATATGTTAATATTGCTAACTTGGTCCATATCACCCATTCAAACTATTGGCCCATGACCACTTCTTTAAAGAAAATGTTCTGCTTCATAAAATCTAGAGTCTATCTGTGCGGGAACTCGATCATACCAAAGATATAACCTCAGAATGTATTATTTACGAGTGCTCCTCTGTATAAATTGGCCAAAGTTGCATTCAATAGATAAACTAAAATGTTAACATTTGCAGTGAAGTAATTGTTTGATTGACTTTAGGGCCCATATGTTTCTCTTTCCCAACTGTGTTGGGCATCGAAGCTAAACATCACCAGACATCAGACACTGTTGGGGCATGTCTCTCAACCAGTGTGAGGTCCACTCTGCATGGGATAACCCCTAAGACTGACAGATGTTAGGATCTGATATCACCTAACCCCCTGCTATGCAGTACCTTCACCATCTTCTCTCCCTCTTGCCTCCTCTTCTCTCCCTCTCCTCTCCTCTCCCTCTTCTCTCCTTCTTCTCCCCCTCTCCTCTCCTTCTCCCTCGCTCCAGGACCTCTATAGAAGCATCTGTTCTCAGAGTTGGTCTTTCAGAGGCAGAACACCAGGGTGAACGGCCCAGTCTCTGGTCTCTGAGGGCTGAGGTAATGTTCTGCCTCAAAACAAGCAGTCTCTCCCCACATCCCCACATACAGTACCTTTCATATGAAAATAAGATAAACAAGCCATTTGTAAGTCTTGCATTTCAATAGCACTTTTCCCGAAGTTTTAAAGTGCTTTACATATAATGACCTCATGTGTCATCCTCATTTTACATATAACTTCATGTGGTGTTCACAGCAGGGGGCTACCCTCCTGCAAAACAACTTCCATCCCTTTTACCTCAGGACCTTGATTAGCTGAATCAGGTGTGTTAGAGTAAGGTCGGAAGGAAAGCCTGCACACCCAGTAGCTTTTTAGGAGGGTAGACACAGCAGACTGAGGCAGACGTGTAGAATAGATGAATGTAGCCATAACTTTGCCTGGAGTGCCCTCTTGTGCGAGTAAAAATATGCAGCAGCCACAGAGACACCCAAGCAAAAACCACTGACTACATTCCCCACTGAATGTGGTCTAGGTGAAGTAACTGCAGACGAGCAGCATTTTGTACCATGCAATATCGCTGCCCCAAATGTTTTTAATTTGTTTATGTTCTCCTAAAAAATGTCTAACAAATGTCAACGCTTGACGTTTTTCAACAAGGGCTTGGCTGATATAACATGAGACCAGGTAGAATTTCCTAGAAAAGCTTTCACAATATTTTATACACTTTCCTCCAGTGTTGCCATATTGAGCCTGTGATAGAGTGTGTGGTTTCCAGGTGGTGCTGTTTGCTTAGAGTCATACCTCCGGTGACCCTCGCTGTTGAATATCACACAGCAGGACATGCCTTCCGTGGGTTTGGCTGGTGGCATTCTGTCAGGTTCATCTGTTTCACTGTATCCCTGTTTTTCCACCATCACTTGTTTGGGAATTACCTTAAAGCAGAGACGAAAAGGCAAAGCAATAAACCAGTCAATAAAATATAATATCTTTGCCATTGCCTTGAGTTTGTGTTGATCAAGCCTTTCCTGTAATTTGGTTTGGTATAAAGCTAAAAGATGGGTCTGGGAAATTGTAACCACACTCAAACCACACTCATAGACAGAGGATACAAGGACTGACATTGACTGACCATGAGTCTGTGGAAGACACCTTGCACTCATAACTGTCCCCTGCTGCGAGCCGGGAGGCTGAAGATCGTAATGGCACCTGCCCTGAAGTAGTGTACCTCCTGCCTCCCCTACATTGCCTAAGCAGACGGCCATGGAGTACGCTTCGCCTGTTTCAGTCAGGACCATGCAAAGAGAACGCCCAGGGTCTGCCTGAATACCATGAACACCATGGCACTCCACACTCGCGCCATGTTGACAGTGTCATACATGACCTGTCAGCACAATATGGACTCCCTGGTGCCACAGCAGAAAGCAACATTCTTAGACAGAGGCTCAGCTGTTGTCTCTGCTTGCTACTACCACTCCTGGTGGGACCTAGGGCCACGCTATTGGATCGCCTGTGGAGGAAGGCCACACGAATTGTAGGGTAAACACCGTTGTCTAGTGGTGGATACCATCAAATTAAAATGAATAGAACGAGCGTCCTTAAAATTACCACAACAGCGGAAATGCACTTTTGTTCAACTGAAAGACGATGCCCAGAGCTTACCCATGATGTTGCACAACGATAAGTCATAGTTTTAGTCAAAGTATGATGCATTTGGGCTAGAAGTGGGAAATCCGAAGTGGAACATTCGTGGAAATCTGTGTCAATGCTGTGTTTCCTTATGAGATGAAGTGCAAATACTTTTCAGACTACGTTTCTTTTCAGGGCTGGGTCTTATTTGAATGTTACCACCCACCTGCATGGCATTATTTATTAAGCAAAGTTCTTCCTCTTCGTGACTGAGCTGAGCCAGAGAGTAAGAGGCGAAGCGAGAGCGGTAACTCGGCCCACAATCTGTCTCCTCCAGCAGGTGGCGATTTTTCGTTTTTTCACCCACCAAGTGAGGAGTTTTTGTATGGAGGTCAATGAGAGAGTGTCGAATTTGGTCAACAAATAATGTAATGACTTATTTACTATTTGATCGAATATAAGTTTTGTGATGTTTCGATTGTTACGAAAGTTACGAAAGTACTACACACGTGGCATATCGGCAACATTGAGAAAAACTATTTTATATAGGAGTTGTGCCTGTTCACACCATAACTGCCTTCTCATTGGCTAGAATGGTCCCACGTGATCTCGCTTCATCCCTCCTCCTCTTCCTCTCTCAGGACAGCGAATCCAATTGTTAGACATGAGATATGACCAGTGATGTATGTATATAAACCCTGGATTGCTGATGCTTTGTATTGGCCATTGTGAGGCTTTGAAGCCACCAGTCGCTCCATATTGGCACTCCCTAGGAGCAGTCCTCCATAGGAATGAATGGAATTCTACAGTATTTCAATTAAATATT